AACCAAATGAGGCTTTTGGGAGCCTTCTGGAGGCTTATCCAAGCTTCCACCGACAAAGACCAAAAAACTTGGTTGGGAAAATGCCATGTGGTAAGTAAAATTGGAATAATTGAGTTATGGTCATTCAACTTCTACTAAGTTTTACTTAAAACCCCCAAACTTTAAATTCGATCAATTTAATCCCTAAAACTATAAACTAAAGGACACTAATTTTTAAATTATTCACTAAGGTATGTGGGGTGTTACAATGAGTCTAGGTAAATTTTAAACAATAGTATTTCTTTATATAAATTACTATATAAAGAATTTTTTCTAAAATTTTGTTACTTGTTTTTATTTCAGGAAGTTATTTCCTCAACTTGAAATTATTGATCAAGCTTAGTTTAAGTTGTTGCTGTAGAGTTTGCCTTGCTGGATTGGATGGATGTGTATGCATGTGCCACTGACTACACTCTTTTATGCCCATTTTCTTAATGAACTTATTGCTAGACATCTATGGTAGTAGTTTATGCTTTTTTTTTTCTATGAATTTTGCTAAATCTAGATTTGTGTGACAGTTGCAACTTATGCTCTTTTTTTATGAATCTTTTGCTGGATTTGTTAGACTTATATGGTAGTTTATGCCTTGCTAGATCTGCTTGACATGTAAATATTGCCTGTGTATATTTGTTGCTTGTTTTTCTTGTTTCAAAATTTTACTTTATATAATTATTTGGTGAACGTGAAAACTAGTGGAGTTTAAGTAAACCCATGTTGAATTTAATTTTGATTAATAACCAATGAAAAATTTGATTAACAAACAGTAGAGTAAGTGATAATTTTATTTGGCGGTGACTTTAAATACTCGCGATGACCTATCATTCCTCGCGGGTATGAGGACAGAGGCTATTTTTCTACCAAAAATCTCCTTGGGGATTCTCATACCCGTCATTAGCGGGGATAGGGATGGGAAGGGGGTTCTGCTTCTGTGGGGATTCATTGTCATCCCTAAATATGCAATTACAGGCACTTGTTTTTAAAATGAAATGAATTTTCATACAAATGCAGCATTTTATGACAATGAAAAAGTCTAACAATAATTTTCCCATCATAAATAAGTACTACTAGTAAAAGAAAAATGAGAAAATAAAAACAAAAATATCAAAGAAGTAACAAAAAAAATGGAACATCAATAAATCATCCTCAGTCATCCAAACAAAGAAGGAAAAAAAAATGTAAAGGGAATAATAAAAGCGTCCCGAAGAATAACACGAGAGTAATAGTGTACTAGATTCCTGCTTCACAGATGGTCCGCTCAAAATGCTGCGTCGGAGAAAAGTGCACCATTACCGGAGAACATGCCAGCTTCAGCCTCCGTTCATTCGACTTCAACACACCCACCTTGAACCTAATCCTTGCCCACACATAAACATACAGCTCGATCTCGCCGGTTCCCTTCTCGAGCCTGATGTCCCTGGCACTACCTGGCGTTAGAGGTACATTCGACGCCACGATTTTGGTCTGGATCCGGGTCACATTCCGATGTGGTTGAAAGAAGGGCTGGATTGTGGAGTAGGCGATGGGCTGGTCTTCGTAGGCCACCGACGTCTTGATGGAATCGTAGTAAATTGAGAGTCGGCGGTTGGGGTTGTGTGCCCGGATTGTGAAATAGAAGGTGGAATTCATGTGGGTGTCGGACTGGTTGAAGTTGGAAACGCTGCCATTTTCGATGGAGAAAAGGAGGTGTTTTGGGCGGATGACGAGCCAGGCGATGAGGACGGCTAAACCAACGAGGACGATGGTGGTTAGTAAGACAATGGCGGTGCAGCGTACGAGGTTGAAAGGCCTTTGCTGCTGTTGCTGAGGATTAGTTTGTGGTCTTGAACTCATTGTGCTCTATTTTTTTGTCTGAGAACTAATCAAGAAGATGGTCGGCCTGGTTCTGCTAAGGGGAGTAATGATATATACATGGGAATATATTTGGGTCTTCTTTCTTTTTCTTTTTCTTTTCAATGGATAAACCGATTATTTATATCCCATATATTATTTTTTTTAAATTAACACATTTTATTATTTTTACGCCAGACGAATACATTTCATAATTTGAAATTTACAAAAAAAAATTTCAAATTATCAATAAAGTTAAAATAAAAATATAAGATTTAACTATTAATTTTAAATTTTTTTATAAATTTTAAATTATAAAATATATTGACAAGAAGTAAAAATTCTTTAAAATATTGACCACAAAATAAAAAATAATGTGTAATGTATAAATAAGAGATTTGATATTTTCTTCTTTTTTTTTATTTTTTTTTATTTTTTTATTTTTGAATAAACACTTTTGTCTTTTAAACTTTAACATTTCTTGCTAGAAACTCAAGACATCTTGGAGAGATTCAGGTTCTTTTCTTCAGATCTAAATGTTCCAAGATTCATTATATATCCAGTTGTCCATGTGATCTTTATCTAAGAGAAAGCCTCATGCATGGAAACTCGGGACTAATGCCTTCTCTATTTTTCTTTTTCACACTGCGTAATGATTTGCACAATTGTACTAAATGAAGGATCCTCCATTCAATTCGTCAAATGTGTATGACTGCAAAGAAGGTCACAAAGCTTATTCAAGAATGTCGTCGTCCATAGATTGAGACCAGAACAATGTTTATTATGGCAAAACAAAATTTGTCATTCAAACTGGAATCCAAGCATTGAAGTTTCAAATAATCTGTCTTATTTGATATTAGATTAGCTAGAGGGATGGGTTACATATATGTACATATCAAGGAGATGCGGGTGCAAATTCGATAGTGATGGTTCCTTTCTTTACCTCCAAGGTATTCCTATTCCATCTAAGCCCTCTTTTCATTTTAAGAACTAATTTCTTTCAAAATTAGTTGGTTAGCCATTCTCAATAGGCTCACCACTAAAGCTAGGCGTAAGAAGTGGACCCCTACCATTGTTGACGCAAGTGTTCTGTGCAATAGTGAACTAGGGATAAATGAACACTTATTTTTTAAATGTAGTTACATGAAGAGGATCTTATAGAAACTTAGTGTCATGGTTGGAGTCCCCTTTACTAATTCATGACAAGGTTTATTGCAATGGATGGGAAAGAGGATTAGGGGAAAGTCTTTGCAAAATACCTAGTCAACTTAGCGTGGAATGTAACAGTATACCACACATGGAGAGAAAGGAATATCGGAGGATTCACCAAAGAGTCTTCTTGATAGTGAAATTGTCTATGATGTTTAGTTTGATGTAAGATGCAAGATTTTGGAATTTGCTAAACCAAAAACCTTGCCTATGCCTATGGAAGTTGCTGGCCAACAGAGACTGGAAGAAGTTGTGAAGAACTAAACATGTATAGTCTTTGACAGCTTTTAGAAGCTTACATTCTTTGTAGCAGCTTATTCACTGCTTTATTATACATTTAGTTTATGGATAAATAAAAATATTCATAGTTTATTAAAAAAATTCTTTCAAAATTAATAAATTAAAATAAAAAAGTAATTGTTGAATTGTTAATTCTTATGGCTTTCCATTCCTTTCTACGGCAACTTTCACATGGCATGCATTTCCATCCAAAACCTTCATAATTTTATTAAAAAGCATTTGGTCTATTAGTTGAGTGAACTTGTACTAATTAACCATCTTATGCAAAGACAATAAGAAAAGTGTATGCTTTAGCTAAAGAAACTGAGGTAGGCAAAGTAAGATCCAATATAAGCAAAAAATTTTGGCAAATAATCATCAATTCAAAAGCTCACGCGCTACACGCGCCACCTAGGAGTGGAAAAAGGAGGACTCAAGTGTTGCCGCGTGGCGCATAGAGGGTGTGTTAATTTAGTTGATATATTAAGTTGAAAGCACCTAAGTTGTATTATAATATATAGGCAGACAAAAGGAAAGAAGAGCAACAAGGCAAAAACAAAAAGCTAGGCCTGACCAAATGTGGAGCAATGGAGTTGGTCGCCGCATATCCCTTGGAAGATGCTGTCATTAGCTAGTAGCTAACCCATTGGAGAAGAAACCCTCAATTCCACAATCTTCTATATATAAAGCCCTCTCCTGAAGTCATCTCTACAACAGCCAAAAAAAAAAAATCATATATTAGAGTAGAATCATGATAGCTATTTCCCATCCAGGAGAGTCGTTGCCTACTGCCACTCCCACCACGGGGGAAGTGGTGGGAGGATTGGTTGAGTATGCATTTCTGTAACTGGCTTTTCGTGATGGGATTTTCTTCCCACAGGGCAACCAAAATCCTTTGGCAATTTTTACTTTTTGGATGACCATGTATCAGTTACATTGCGATTCCAAGGTCTAAATGTACGAGTTTCTGCAGAAAATGGCTTCATCTGGAATCTGGATCCAGTTTGTAGTTTTTTCTGATCTGGTAATTCCTGCCTTTTCTTGTTCTCTGTCTGGTTTTTAGTGCTCCTACCTAATGTCTGATGTAATCAAAAGTTAGGTCACATTAATGAATAAGCAAATTGTTGCTCATATTTGATATTCCCCTTTGATATGTCATTCTGATCTTTTTATGAT